AATTTAAATGCAGAATTGAATGAATCGGGGCATAACGTTGGAATGTCACTGACAGAAAATCAAATGTTCATCAACTCTCTGCAGAAAATGTTGCTTTAAAAATCAGACTTCGTGTCTGAATGGTTAAAAAACTCAATTATATTGGATAGCAAGGAGGGAAAGTCCAACTCAAAGTCTTTATCGGACTACCGGTAGAGCGAAAAGTCAACCAAAAAGAGAGAAAGCGACCATTAGCTGGATTTCTGTGCTGTCAGCCATTTTCTTTAGCTCCATCAGCTTTTTAGGGGTTAAAAAAAGCTCTTTTATTATTCATTTCCCTGGGTTTTGCTCTTTTTGCATAAGCTGGCGACACACTAATTACCAGTCTCATTTCTGGCTGAATTATTCTGCATTTTACACGTAAAACCAGCACGTTTGTTTGTGAATATGTGTTTTTTTTTCATTACAGAGACAAACGACTATCCTACCTAATCTTCTCCGATTGGTGTGCCCATAAATGTTTAATAAATGTTTAATTATGCGGCCCGTGTGAGGGGAAACTGCACATAATTCAGGGGGAAACCGGCCAGACTCATCGTCTTAATAGAAAAAGATAATCCTGCTGGCAAACGCTTCATTTCAAGCATCCGGAGCTTTAAAAAAACTGCATTTTAATGCGGTTTCACAGAGACACATTTTTCCATACAGATTCTGCTCATGCTAAAAGGACCTTTTCCTTAATTTAATGGTAAAAACTTTGCTCAAAATCCTATTGTACACAATCAGATACACATGATAACAGGGGGCAGAAGACTACACAAAAAATCATTCGCGATTAAATAATTAATTTAATCGCATAGTAGTAAATTATTAATATTAATATTCTATTTCAGTTTTTTCTTTTTACATATTTAGTTAAAAGGCCAAATAAGGAATTCAAACCCCCAAAAAGTCATTTTCTGTTTTGTTTTATACTTGGATCAGGCTTTAAAGGGTTAAAACAGCTCTGCTTGTGTTCTAGTCTCTTCATGGGCAAGCACCAATTCAAATGACCAGTTCAGAACCAGGAACCAGGACCACATCAGTCCAGTTCAGAACCAATTTTATTTATCATATTTTGATTATATATTTTACTTTAATTTGATTATTTTTCTTTTCTATTTTTCTAAATTCTTTGTGAAGAACTTTGAATTGTCTTGTACACGAAATGTTCTATACAAATAAACTTGCCTTGCCTTTTCATAATTTTTTATTCAATTAATTAACTTTATTTATCATATTTTGCTGATACATTTTAAATTGGTTATTTTTCTTTTCTATTTTTTATTTTTTTCTACTCCCGGCCTCTTCGCACCCTGCGGCTTGCCTTGTCTTGTTTTTTT